GAATAGTAATTTACTAAAGTTATTTTTACTAGGAACAGTGAGATAGTACAGTGCATAGGGAGATTGCTTCGGATACAGCTGACCCAGGATCAATCCCAGGCTCAGAGAAGGCTATCCTGACCCCTGCCAGAAAATATCCCTGAGTACAGGCTAGGAATAAGCCCTGAGTACAGCCAGGTATTAAAAAAAAAAAAAGAAAAAAAGAAAAATAATAATTTAAATAAAAATATAAATTAAAACATTTTTACTAAAAATGGTAACTTAGAGCAAATGTGTACCCTCAACAGGCTTTTTTCTGAATATATGTGAATGACAAATGTATGCAGACTTAATAAACATTAGGATATGTATATGTATAGTATGTGTATATGTATATAGGTTCTAGATTCATCCATTTAGGTGAGAGGGTGTACCAAACTAAAAAGTTGTGAACTTTGAAGAGCATAGACCCAAGTTACCATATGTTGAAAGTGATCATTTATGCTTATAAAATTTATATTATGTTATATGATATGATATATGACATATATTAATTACATATATTATATTAAATGTCTATAATATATTTATAACATAATAAAACATTGAATATAGTAAATATTAGTATATAAGTATGCAGTTATAGTGATTATTATAGTACAATTACGCTTTATACTTAAATGCATACATATATAATATGAACAATATACATGCAATGCTTGCATATATTCTAAATTATTTTGTGTATATTCTAACTATTTACAGTGACAACTATATAGTCATATTTTCTCTTAAATTTTTCTCAATTCTCTTCTCACTCTTAATTGTGAACTTGTTGGGTTTATTCATTTCATGTTAATTTTAAAATTTATTATCATGGAATTTTTCTAACAATTACTTTTTAAAATTTATATACAGGCAAAAGAGATGGTAACATTTTTTTTTAAAAAAGTTTTTCAATTAATTGGTTTACATTATGTTTTTTATTTTAGGGGTTTAGCTTTAATTGCCTCTATGTGTGTAGGTGTTGCCATCTTCACAATATTTAAAATCAGAAGATCTTTCTCCTATGTAGGATATGTAGGAACATAGTAAGCAAATAATAAATGTCCAAAATGATCAAAATGGAAAATTTTGTCTATAGAACTGAGTTTAAGTGGGATGGGGTGGGAGTGGGGTAGTTGAAACGGGTCTTTGTGATATTAGTGCAGGAAAATGGACATGCTGGTAATGGACGTGATATAGAAATGATGCATGAATGAAAAGTAAAATTAACGGTACTATCCTAGTATCTCAATAAAAATGATAAAGGTAAAAAAAGTAAATGATTGCTAGTTTCATATATTGACACACAGAAAATGATGGGTTCTTTAAATGGAATAATACAGGACTAAGCCTCAAAATAGGTTTCAACTATTTATTACATGCTATATATTATATAATATAAAAGGTAAAGGCCCTCCCGTTGATCGTCGATTTGCTCGAGCGGGCCCAGTAACGTCTCCATTGGAGACTTTGTCGTTACTGTGTCTGGCATATCGAATACTCTCGGTAGCTTGCCGGGCTCTCCAAGAGGGGCGGAGGAATCGAACTCGGGTCGGCCATGTTGGCCGCTTGTAAGGCGAACGCCCTACCCGCTGTGCTATCGCTCCAGCCTTGTATTATATAATATACTTATTATATATCAATATGATATTCTGTATATATTAGTTTTATAAACTTTGTTGATCTTGTACTTTTATTACAATATTTCAAAACTAGAATTGAATTAAATATTCAAAAGGAATGTAACTGGAAAATAAAGTGCTTTAAATCTATTTACCCTGTACAAAGATTAGAGGTGTTAATCTGACAGACACTTAAAATAATGCTTACAATTTTTTAGAGATACACCTGCAAGGAAGAGGAAAGAAAGAAAATATTAATCTCAAGTGGTATTATATAATAGATGATCATCAAATTAACCTGCTTATCATCATATTCTGTTAAAGATAGTTAAAAAATTTTATGCATACAATGTGCCTTTAACATGTGAGCCTTTTCTAAAATATAAATTGAAACAGAAAGGTGTAATAACTTGTCTAAAGTTGCACAGTAGCTTAGCAACAACCCAAAGAATGGAATTAAAATTCCTGGTCTCAGTTCAGTATATCATCCATTGTATCAAGTTGTTTTCCTTGTCTATAGAAAAAATAGGATTGAGAGGCATATAATCTAGCTATTCTTCTAGATCAATTTTTACAAAACACCTGGGAAGCAGGCCCAGGGCAATTGAGACATCTGAGAAGTTCAAAAGTATTATTTTCAAGGGACTAAGAACATAGAAACTCTTTATCTTAGAAAGAAATACATGGCACCAGATGGTAGGTCACAAGCTGGTGACATATGGGACAGGAGTTTGAGATGTTTTCACTGTGCCCATAAAGAAGGTATAAGAGAAGAAAGAATGGTATTTGTACCTTTTTTTTTTAACCTCTGTCTAAGAGTAAACATAGATAGGACATTTCTTTGGTCTTCAAAGGAAAGACAGTAGCTCATTTAACACTTTGAAATGTAACATGTAAGTTATTACCTGAAATTGCTTCAAACTATCCCATATCAATGACAAACTTCTGTGCCTGGATTTTGCAATTAGATAGTAGTTTAAAACATGGTTTCTTATTTCCCACTCAAGATCTCTGTTCTCTGGAAATTGGCAACATGTTTGAGCACTGCCAGAAACATCTCCATTCACTATATGTTCATTCTCAACAGATTTTTCCAGTGGTTGTAAATTCAGAAACCTTTTTCTCTTGCCAAAATTTTTGCAACCTCCACTTTAATATGTTAGATGTAATGGAAGGTTACAAACTTCTCTAATACATATCTAGTTGGGTTTTATCTCATCTCATAGTATCTGTCATGTTTCTTTAGATATAGTGTAAAAAAATTGTTGCTGTATACATATATTTAGTTTTTTTCTACCTTAATAAAGGGATGAGCACTAATAATCTTTTGCATAGAGATTACTAGATGATATGGCAAGAAGATCAAGATTCTAATAGAATGGGACATAGGGGTACTTGACAGTTGTGCATTTGTGTTAGAAGCATTCACTGCAATATAAAGAGCCTACAAGTCTGAGGAAAGTTAAAGGCAGTTGAGAAACAGAAAAAAAGTACAGGTCATTTGACTTGGGTTGTCTTCTGAATGACAGCTTCTTCATACTGTCAATAGAAACCAAGAAAAAATAAAGAAGAAACAACCTTCTTTTTGACAAATGATAGGTGAGTGATCTTAACTGCCTGGAAAAGACTTGGACTGGGAGAAGACACAGAGTTACTGCTGCTACTATCTATACAGATGTAGATGGAATTAATTTAGACCGAGTTTCCAATCTGCATATTCTCTGAAGGTTTATGGATTGCCAGTTACTGGCTATGTGCCTTCAAACTCCAGAAGCTGTGGATATTGTGTAAAGACATGAATTAAACACATTTCAGTAGCAGCTTGGTACTGATTTTTGAAGTTGGGTATGTTTCAACTACAGACCCAGAAGAAAGTATTTACCAATTATGGTAATATTTCAGCTGCAGGGTAAAGTAGGCAGCTGAAGAAGCTAGGAAAGGCAAATTATATTTTCCTGACTGCTCTTGTTTACCAGCTCTATAATGAATGGCCTCACACCCACGTGTTTCTGAGTGTGTATGTGTGTTTACCACTTTATCAACACTTCAGTTTCATGCTTTAAGAGATTAAAGGAGGTAATTTGACATGCCAGATTTGTATTTCAAAGATTCTTATTTGTGGACTCCATTGTGAACTAAGAGGCTTTTATAGCTACCAGCTGTTTGATGGATTGGGTTGTCAATACTTAGAATTTAGGATTAGTGGGATGGGAAGACAACAGGAAGGGTTAGGAGCCAAACAATCAGCTCCAGTGAAGAATTTGTATTTTCTAGTATAGGTAGAAGAAGAAAGTGTAAAGTGGTTCCCATGGAAGTATTGGGATGTCAGATATTTCTTTAATCCAAGAAGAAGAATTTTGCTATTCTGGGTCCAGTCACTAGGTTTTCAGCATGGAGGAGTTTGTGTTCATGGCAATGCACAGGAGAGCTGGAAAAGTGGTGATGAATAAAACTAGTCACTTGAAAAACTAAGACCAATGGCTTTGTTTCATAGACTTAATGCATTGGGATTCTCTCCCCAGACCTCATTTCAAAGGGAAGAAATAGGTTATAGGCTATTTGGTATTGGAGACAGAGGTACTAGCACAGCATTTTGCACCAGACTCCCATAGTCCTTTCCAAAGGACATCTCTTCCATTAAGTATTCAAAGACAAAAGAATAATGAAATATTAATTTGAAAGATAGCTATTTTTGAAAAATTTTTAACTTAGATTTCAGGAATGATCTAAAAAAAGAAAGAAAGGGAAAAAAATAAGCAAGCAAACAAAAATGCAGTCTTTGGAGAAACGTACTGAAATTGCTTGCAGGCAGAAGCAGTTCTTTTAAACCACAGTTGCTCCCACTTTGCTCCCTCGGTTCTTGGCCCTGGCCAGAAGCCAAGGCTGACTCTCAAGTAAGACCACAAGACAGAAACCCAGAGTCACTAGCTCCAAGATCTAGGAAACTAACAGAGGCTGTGACACCACGAACAGCGAAAATTTGAAAGGGAAGCTCATCTAAGCCTTTGCCGAATTCAGATAGTCGTTCCTTCGCTCCAGACCGCTTGAAAATGAGTTTGAAAGTCCTTCCCTGCGCATAGAAAAGAGGGTTTCCCGCGGCTCTGGGCAAACAAGGCTGGATCCGAATCTCTGCGAAGAACTGGTAGCGAGAAGCAGGCGGCGATTGGGGATTGCTCCAGGAACTGCTCGGGAGCGCCGGATTCCTCTCCCTTTCAACTCAGATATAAACGCGTGCGTGTTTCTTTTTTCTTTTTTTCTGATTCTCGGTCTCACGCTCGCAACCTGTGGGTTCCGACTGGGGCGGCGAGGAGGGGAGGCCCGGCAAAGGCAAGTCTCCCTCATTCAGGCTCCCGGGGCAGGGTCTGGCCGGGGCGCGTCCGGGGCAGCGGGCCAGGACCGTGCCCCTCTGCCCTCTGGCCTATCTGCCCCCGGGAAGCTCAAGGCCTTAATTGCCGAGCCGGTGACTATTGGCTGAAGTTCCCCAGCGATTTGCATGAACAGAGAGGGAGTGTCTTGTGTCGGCCTCCCGTCTGGAGCGCGCCGACTGCAGCCTCGCCGGGAATGAGCGGCCGAGGGAATGCGCGCAGCTCGCGGGCCTTGGCACTGAGCTGGCGTCCGGCGACTTGGCACCCGCGCCTGGATATTATGGGGCGTCTCAATCGTCCCAGGAGCAGCACCAGCCCCAGGAACCTACAGGTAAGGGGAGAAGGGGAGGTTAGGATGCCCGAGAACCCCGCGGCCCCCTCCAAGTTGCAGTCGAGGAACGCGGTTCCCCATCCGGATGGGTTTCCCAAAGCTTTTCATCTTCATCCAAAACTTCCCGGGAAGGTCTGGGGGAGGGGGGCGTGCGGGCGAGGGAGGGAAGTTTATGGTGTGGCTCTTCGATTTAGCGAGGGACAGATAAGTGTTTGGATCGGGAAAGGAAGTTTCAGAAGCAGAAATGTTGACAGATGGGGCGGGGGGGGGGGGCTGAGTGTGCGCGCGCGTGTATGAGTGTGTATGCGCGCGCGTGTGTGTGTGAGTGTGTGTGTGAGTGTGCGTGTGCGTGTGCGTGTGCGTGTGTATATGTTCGGTTCTGTTTGGAATCAGGGGGTTCGGAGATTGTTTCCTTGCTGCCAGCATCTGGCTAGAACTGTCTACTGCAATTGACAAATCGCTTTTGCATAATAATTTTCCGCCTTTACTTCTCTTCCCCCGGGGGAGAGGATTAGTTGTGGGCTGGAGGAGAAGCAGAGCCTTTGGATTTGAATTTAGGTGCCCGCCACAATGGAAATTACTTCTGATCTAAAGTGTGTGTGGTGGTGGGGAGTGGGGAGGTGGAGGTCGGAGCGGAGCGCGCACCTCTCCTTACCATCTTATTACGGTTATTGAGATGAGTGTGATTGGTGTCACGCTTCTCATTGCAGGGAGCTCCGCGCCAAACATTTCCTTGGGGCATAAATCGCCCACCTCACAGCACTCTCTATCACCAGCCCGGTCCTTCCCCTAGCCCGACTCCCTGCTTGCCTTGTCGCGTTGCGCAGATCTCCCGGGGATGCTTCACGTTTGCAACCCCCACTGTGGACTGAGCCAGGGTGCGGTTAGGGGAGAGAGAGGACGGGGTTGGAAGTGAAGGGGAGTTCGGGGGAAATTAGTTTGGGAGTGAGAGTTGTCCCATAGATTATTTTGCTTCTTTCGGCAGCAAGTTTTCCGCTCCCCCGCCTTGCAGACTAGGAGGGTTTGCTGACAAGAAAGGGATGGGGACTCGGGTTGTAGCGAGGAGCCGGGCACTGGTGTCTGACTGCACTCTGCGTATTTCCGCGGGTGTGTAATGAGCCTTTTTCCCCTCTCCCCTGCCCCCGCTTCAGCATCTGTTTCTGATCTTCCTCTTCGTGGGACCCTTCAACTGCCTCGCGAGCTACAGTCGGGCCACGGAGCTCCTGTACAGCCTGAACGAGGGACTCCCCGCGGGGGTGCTCATTGGCAGCTTGGCCCAGGACCTGCGGCTGGTGCCCCCGGCCGGCGGGAGGAATGAGCCGCAATGGCAGTCGCCGGAGCGCTCCAGCGCGGAGCTGAACCCCCCTCTCTCCTTCAGCCTGGCCTCCGGGGGACTGAGTGGCCAGTACGTAACCCTGGACAACCGCTCCGGGGAACTGCACACTTCCACCCAGGAGATCGACCGAGAGGCCCTGTGTCTGGATGGAGGTGCAGGCGCCGCGGGGGGCGGCGGCATTTCCATTTCCTCTGCGCCTTCCCCAGACTCTTGTCTTTTGCTTCTGGATGTGCTGGTCCTGCCTCAGGAATACTTCAGGTTTGTCAAGGTGAAAATCGCTATCCGAGACATCAATGACAATGCCCCGCAGTTCCCTGTGTCCCAAATCTCCGTGTGGGTCCCAGAAAACGCACCTATAAACACCCGTCTGGCCATCGAGCATCCTGCCACGGACCCAGATGTAGGCACTAACGGGGTACAGACCTATCGCCTCCTGGACTACCACCGCATGTTCACCCTAGACGTGGAAGAGAATGAGAATGGAGAGCGCACCCCCTACCTAATCGTCATGGGTCTATTGGACAGGGAGACTCAGGACCAGTACGTGAGCATCATCATAGCCGAGGACGGCGGCTCTCCACCTCTGTTGGGCAGCGCCACGCTCACCATTGGCATTAGTGACATTAATGACAATTGCCCTCTCTTTACAGAATCACAAATCAATGTCACTGTGTATGGAAATGCTACTGTGGGCACACCGATTGCAGCTGTGCAGGCTGTGGATATAGACTTGGGAATCAATGCTCAGATAACTTACTCTTACAGCCAGAAAGTTCCCCAGGCATCCAAGGATTTATTCCACCTGGATGAAACCACCGGAGTCATTACACTTTATAGTAAGATTGGGGGAAGTGTTCTGCAAACACACAAGCTCACCATTCTTGCTAATGGGCCTGGCTGCATCCCTGCTGTGATCACGGCCCTCGTGACCATCATCAAAGTCATTTTCAGACCACCTGAAATCGTTCCTCGTTATATAGCAAATGAGATAGATGGCATTGTTTACCTGAAAGAACTGGAACCTGTGAACACCCCCATTGCGTTCTTCACCATTCGGGATCCAGAAGGCAAATACAAGGTGAACTGCTACCTGGATGGTGAGGGGCCGTTTAAGTTATCCCCCTACAAACCATACAGTAATGAATACTTGCTGGAAACCACGAAACCTTTGGACTACGAGCTCCAGCAGTTGTATGAAGTAGCTGTGGTGGCCTGGAATTCTGAGGGATTTCATGTCAAAAAAGTTCTTAAAGTGCAACTCTTAGATGACAATGACAATGCTCCCGTTTTTCCTCAGCCCTTAATTGAACTCACCATTGAAGAAAACAACACCCCCAATGCCTTTTTGACTAAACTGTACGCTACAGATGCTGATAGCGGAGAGAGAGGCCAGGTTTCTTATTTTCTGGGACCCGATGCTCCTTCATATTTTTCCTTAGACAGTGCCACAGGCATCCTAACTGTTTCAACTCAGCTGGACCGAGAAGAGAAAGAAAAGTACAGATATACAGTCAGAGCTGTTGACTCTGGGAAGCCACCCAGGGAATCTGTAGCTACAGTGACTCTCACAGTATTGGATAAAAACGACAATAGCCCTAGGTTTATCAACAAGGACTTCAGCTTTTTTGTGCCAGAAAACTTCCCCGGGTATGGTGAAATTGGCATAATTAGTGTAACAGATGCTGATGCCGGTCGAAATGGATGGGTGGCCCTCTCAGTGGTAAACCAGAGTGATATTTTTGTCATAGACACAGGCAAGGGCATGTTGAGAGCCAAAGTCTCTTTGGACAGAGAACAACAAAGTTCCTATACTTTATGGGTTGAGGCTATTGATGGAGGTGAGCCTGCACTTTCCTCCACTGCAAAAATCACCATTCTCCTTCTTGATATCAATGACAACCCACCTCTGGTTTTATTTCCTCAGTCTAACATGTCCTACCTGCTGGTACTACCTTCGACTCTCCCAGGCTCCCCAGTGACAGAGGTCTATGCCGTTGACAAAGACACAGGAATGAATGCTGTTATAGCTTACAGCATCATAGGAAGACGAGGCCCGAGACCTGAATCTTTTAGGATTGACCCTAAAACTGGCAATATTACTTTGGAAGAGGCATTGCTGCAGACGGACTATGGTCTCCACCGTTTGCTGGTGAAAGTGAGTGACCATGGTTATCCTGAACCTCTCCACTCCACAGTCATGGTGAACTTATTTGTAAATGAAACTGTCAGTAATGAGAGCTACATTGAGAGTCTTTTAAGAAAGGAGCCGGACATAAGTATAGAGGAAAAAGAACCACAGATCTCCATAGAACCGACTCATAGGAAGGTGGAATCTGTCTCCTGTATGCCTACCTTAGTAGCTCTGTCTGTAATAAGCTTGGGTTCGATCACACTGATCACAGCGATGGGCATCTACATCTGTTTAAGGAGAGGGAATAAGTATCCCAGGGAAGATGAAAATTTGGAAGTACAAATTCCACTGAAAGGAAAAATTGACTTGCATATGAGAGAGAGGAAACCGATGGATATTTCTAATATTTGATACTATGTTTGTGGAATAACACAAAGATATTTTAATTAACTTTGGGTAGTCTTCACCACCTAAGCAAGATGTGTGTGGACAGTAGTTCCAATGAAGGACAAGTAATTTATAACTTGTACTATAGTGTAAATGGCTGTTTACAGGTTTTTAAATTTAAAAATCAGAGGTTATAAAATGTGTACAGCATTTTTTAAAAGAAAATTAGTACTAACAGCTATAGAACTGTTATTAAAATAAAAATTTTTGGATGCGATTTGCAGCTTTCATGCAACAAGCAGATGATTGCTAAAACTTGGGAGCAAAGGTAAGAAAATGAAACACTGCTTTCCCCCTACCCCCCCTACAAAGTCCTTTAACCACAAGGGGGCATCAGATGCTCCTTTGCAAGGAACTATTTTGAGGTATTGTACATGACAGTTGTTGTACATGAAATTAATGAGAGAGTATATTTTAAATATATTGTTTTTAACACTTAACAAATATGAAATTAAAAACTAAATTTTACCCTAATAAAATGTATGAGAAAGAAAAGAGATACATTTATAAATAGAAAATTTATTACCTCATAAGTACCTTAGGTGTAGTTTAAAAGAGAAAGCATTACTGAGAAAATTCATTTTCCTTTAGCAAGAATCAAGACCTTCCCATGTGTTTCAGATTCCACTGCTAAACAGTATCTCACTTTCTGTGTGCTCACAGTGCTTTCTGTCTGCTCTCCCACTGCACTTGTTTTATCATGGGGAGAAATATAGTGAACATGTAACTTGAAAGTTTGTGTGTCCACAAAACACAGCCAGAATTAATGTCTCAAATCCATGGTTGCTTTGGAGGTGTTGCTATTCTGGTACTTTCAGTTTGTCTGTAGAACCTTTATACTTTGGTTACATATTAGATTTTTACAAGCTTCAACTCATCATCACCTAAAAAGAAAACAGAAAATCATAATAAAATGAAATTATTCTAGACTCTAGTGTGCACTACTGGTTGGTTGTTTAGTTCAGTCTTTTATATGAAAATTGTACTTATTGTTTTGTGTTGTTGAAGATTGTGAGCTCCCATTCTGGCTTCCTTTCTCTGGTTTTGGATTCAGTCCAGGAGTTTATTTGCTAGTGCAGCGCATATTTCTTTGGTAATTTAACTTTTACTGACTCCTTTGCAATGAAGCAAATTGGATCATCAGGAATTGATTACATCCACCTCATTGTGTGACCTGAAAATTTCATTTTACATGAGACCTACAGAAAATTTATCTGTGTAAACAAAGAATTTGTTAGCTTAACTGGATCATTCTGCTTTTGTCATCATGTCTCTGTACTGTACCAAAAGTGTTTATATGTCTGACAATTAAAGGTATATATTTTCATAATTGCTTTCTCATTTTTACCATTTAGATTTGAACATGGGTATTTTCTTTCTCCAAAGTGCCTGTAATTGGCATCTGCTTGCTTTTAGAGGTAAATGTGGGTAAAATGGAAATATTCTGCTAAGCTGAAGTTTATATTAAACAAATTTTTACTCAATTAAACATTGGGTAAATCATTAAGTATTTGTAACTATCAACATATATATACATACACACATTTATATTTAATAGAGTATGCCCATGTTTGAAGGAAATCCAAGTATAAAAATCTATACTCATGCACGTGAACATGAATATTTATTATTGGTTTAGCATCAATGATAAACATTCATCATATAGCTAATCCTCTGATATTGGTATTGAAATAGTTTTCAACATCAAAAAAAAAACATACATTGCAAAACAAAAAGAACTAAATGAGAACACCCACACCTTTGGAAACTACTTTTTTTTTCATTTCCATCAATTTCACAATTTACACAAATAAGCATATGACACAATTTGTTAAAATATTTATATTTTCATTGCAAAATCTGATGTTTGAGAGGCCCCCAAGCTAAGATGTTAAGATTCTTTAACTCCATCCCAAACTTTATAATCATAATTTATGCAAAGCATAGAGGAAACCATGCTTTATCATTCATCTTTTGCATTATTTCTCTTTTTAAATGCAAGGAGCAATCTATAATACAAGTAACATAATTAATTAAAATAATCTAAAATCGTGATTATTTAATTATAATTTACATAACAAAATATTCTATTCATTTCCAAATATAGGAAACTTTCATATACTTTGGAGTATGAACTTTATTTCCAGCATGAGAAATGCCTGTAACATTAATAAAATCTCTTGTTCCTGAATAATTTCTTGTGGCAAAATTTCCTTTATAAATTTAAATCATTTACTTTAAAAATATTTATAACAAAGAAAGTTAAAGTAAATCAAGCTCAAAGATAAAAGCCCCTTTCTACTAACACCTTGTGCTAGAACAGTTGCCAAAATGTATGCTAATCATGTCAATGTTGTTAGTTGAGTTGGCACAAAAATAAATGTTCCATTCATTAAATCCCTAATATCCGTTTAACAGTTTGAGAACCAGTGAGTTCTCTTTGTCCAAATTAGTGAAGAAGAGATTGCTCTGATCTTTGCACAGCCAAATCCATCCTTATACAACAGAAAAAAAAATAGTATTAAGTTGAATCAGGAACCTCTAAATACAACATAGCAATTTCAGCTATATGGATAAAAGCAATTTATGTGACTTAACCCTTTAAATTTCCTCCACATATTAAAAAAAATCTTGGCTGCTATGCTTCTGTCATTGACAGTTAAAGAGAAAAGGGGAAAGTGTTTCTTTTAAGAGGAATTTTGTAGTATGTGAAAAATTAATTTATTTAATACAACTTTTCTGTACTTTAAAAAAAACAACGATCATGATCTTGCTATGACAAAAGATAACTGAAACAGTAATAGGGATAAAATATGAGCTTAACTGGATTGTATTAAGATTCTCACATAAAGTGTTTAATGTGTACTCCCAAAAGTATTTCTAATTGGCAACTGTATAAGGAGGAATTAAACAAGCCACTCCTTGGTAGATTCAGATTCCAATCTCCTTTCAGCAGGAAAAGGACTTTGATGTTCTGATGTTTGGCAGATAATGGAGATTGTAACGAAAGGAAAGTGATGAGCAGTACTGAGTTTATAGTGATCTATTATTTCACTGGGCAACCTCAGCTCATGAAGACCAGAGAGAGATACCTGAACATGTTGTTCCTTCTGGGTACATTTTTGCTCACTGTAGTAAGCAGTAAATTGCTGCAAAATACCATTTTGTTGACTTGTGTTATCTCCTTGTATCAAAGTGCCTTTATAAAGTGAGTTTCAAATAAATATTAATTGAAGGAAAGATAATTAAGTGTTAAAAGTAGACTAAAAGGAATAAGTAAAAAAGATAACTCCTAACAACATATAAAAATCAGTATGTTTATAGTAGTTTCTGATAGGAAAACTTTCAGATATATATATATATATATGTGTATATATATATATATGAGTAAGAGGGAAAGAGAAAGACCGTTTTCAGTAGTGCTTAGTTTTTATTCCTGGCTGTTTACTCAAGGATCAATTATGGCATTGCTGGGGTTGAAAAGGCTGAGTGAAAACCATATCTCATGTCAGGGATTTGAATTAGTATTGGCTTTATGAAAAGCAAGGACTTTATCTCTTATAATAATATCTATTTTAAGAACAGTTTATCTCTTAAAAATATACAAGATTCACCCTATCATGTATTTAAAAGTATACATGTTTCACTCTATCATGTATATTTTAAAATAAGATAATATCTGCACACATAGAAAACATGATAATTTTAAAATGATTGTCATTGCATATAATGCTTTCAAAAACAATTTTTTTTTCATAAATAGAATCCTAAACTGTGAACTCATGCCTGTAGGATGATAAATTAAAATTTGGTGACCTTTACCATGACCTTTAAGACTTAACCTACAGAGGTGAAGAGGTTAAAGTACTGCATTGATTAAAATTGGAATCACCCACTCATTCACTTCATATATATTTATTTTAGTAGTCTGATCAACAAGGAGTAGTGAGAAAAGTAGATTCCATTGATGAAATTATATTTTTTAATGTGGGAGTTCAGTACGCAAACCTTCCACCTTTAAACATTTTGTGATAAATGCTCACACTCAGCGTACTCTGTGAGAAGAACCTAGCCCCATTTCTGAAAGCCTTGAAGAAACTTTCCATGGAACAATCTCTAAGTTTAGCCCATTCAGTGTACTGTCTACATTGAATCTGAAAAACAAAAATAAAAGGGGAGAGTGGGCAGAATAACAGAGAAAAGGATTCACACAAGAGGAAATAGTATATGAGGCATGCAGTAAAGTACAACTATCATGATCAGAGAACCATCGACTGCAATTCTTGACTGAAAAGATAAAAATAATAAAGGATATTATTAACAATGAGCTTGAACATTGTTACACTGTTCTAAACAATGAATGAACTCATGTTATAATTGGATATTGTAATTTTATTCCAAGGTAATAGAGGATATTGATTAAGCAATTTGTATGTAAAAAAAACCTCGTTAGTCACATGTTGAGCTTCTGTTGAATAACTTTATGGAAGTTGACTAAAAAGTGCTGGTGATGGGGATGAGAAGATAGTACAGTGAGTAAAACAGTTTCTTTGCATGCAGCCACTCAGGTTAGATCCCTGGCATGGCATATTCACCCTTGAGCCTGCCAGTATCCTGAGCACAGTGGCAAGAGTAAACACTGGGAACAATTGGATGTGAACCAAAACAAAACCAACAAAAAGGTATACTAGTGACAATGTAAATGAAAGTGAGGATCCTAAACTTTAAATATAAAACAGATTTAGGATGGGATCAATTAGATAAATAATCAACAACTGGTCAATTGGAAATAAGTATGTATTAATCAATATATGGTAGACTAGAAAGTTTATAATTTTCATCATTTGCTCTCAAGCCTATTTTGGAAGCTATAAAAAGAAGAGAAATTCATTTACTAAACACCAAATCTGCGATTATAGCATTTAAGCCAAATCCCCCTATATAATGCTGGCTTTATGAAACAGATGGAAATATAGGCACCCTAATATACCCGGTTTATTTCACCTAATGTGACTGTCAGGTGTATTTAATTTAACAAAGATTACTGTATGCCTACATGCTTAATATTCAAACATGAGCCTCTGACCTCCTCAAGGATATTTTATTCAAGGCATTTATAATATTTTATTTAAAATTTCACTAAAAATCTCCATATAAATTTGTTTTGTGGAAAAATTTTGAAGACAATTAAATATTGAGTGTTTATAATGAAAATATACTTTCAAGTCTTGTATGAATGTCAATAAATCTGATATGTCTATTGTCAGCAATTCTAAGCAGATCCAGAAAATAAGAGCTGATGAG